GGGAAGAATAATTAAACTTGAAGTTCAAAGGGATGGGGATGGAAATTCTGTGATTCCTCTGAGAAAATGAAAATATATGGACTTAGTTCAAGCAGAGCCCAAATCCTCGATAATAATGAGAAATGTGAATTCTGGAGGCTGGCATTCAAGGATGTGGTAAAACAGTGGTTCTCCAACTGTAACAGTGTCTATTCCCTGCACACACTAAGGAAGGGTGAATCTGGGCAGGAAGGTGAGCTAGTAATTGTAACAGTGTGAAGCTAATAGAACTGGGAAAAAGATCTGAGAAAAAGGGAGCTGCAGGAGAAGAAGCAGAGAGAGATGGAAGGAAGCAGAGAGAGATGGAGGAGGAAGAAGACTGGAGGATGCACATGGAGCAGAAACTTGAAGATGCAGCACTTGTTTCTTAGCCTGTAACTTGTACTGGCATATGGGGGACATGGAAAGGGACACTTGCAAGACAAAGATGTGAGGTTAACAGTGGTAGCCTTTATCTTTACTTGGATTTTGCTTTTTTTTTTTTTTTCCTTCCAGACTTGCCTGTCCCCTTCTGCCCCTTTCCTATGGTTCCCCACTAGAAGGTGCCTTAGATTAAGCACTTGGACCTCAGTGGTCCTGCTTTTGGGTCAGCCCTGTTTGGCTGGGCATTGCCCATGAGGGGATGGGTAACTTTGTATGCTTGATTTGGAAACTGTATTCTTTTTCTTCTCTTCTCTCTGTTGCACACTAGTTGTATTAAAGTTCCTTTCCTTTGAAGGTCTTACACACTAGAGTATGTTGTGCCTTGAGGCAGCTGATGACAGAAACTATTTAGAGTTGGCAGGTTTGGGGATCCCAGGGTACCCCTTATTCTTTAGTGAAGATTAGGATTATCTTGGGAACTGGTGTAAAATGTAGCAAGTCAGATTCTACTGTTAGCTTTTCCAGATTCCATTTCAGTCAATCTGGGGTTGGTGCAGGAATCTGTAGTTAAATAAGTGTTTCAGATATTATAATTCAAGTGGCCCTTCCATTTGGAGAAATACAATGTACTTTTCAGAAATGAAAGAATCTAAGATTTTCCTATCCTTTTCCCGTGCTTTAAAAAAAATTCCAACTTTCAGAAGTGTTTTATCCCTTATAAGAGATTGTATTAAAATAGCAGCAGCATCCCCCCAGCACCAATCACAAACACTTTTTTTTAAAGATTTATTTATTTATTTATACAAGCACTGGGTACAGTCAGAAGCGTGGGAGGGTGAGAGAATTCACCAGAGCCAGAGCGGGGAGCAGAACAGGCAGACTGACGAAGTACACTGCTGAGGGGAGCAGCGGGCAAGACAGGAAAGGTCTGCATGCCATTTGGGCGCAGCAGCCGGGGATCAACCGGCACTGCAGAAGTTGTGGGCAGCTTCATAGCTCAGTGCTCAACCGCTGCGCCACCGGGGAGGCCCTCATAAACACTTTTAAAGAAACAACTGTGTTCCAAGCATTATATTTACTTAGCTAATATTATAAAGCCAACTACCATTTATTGAATATTTACTAATTACCAGGAATTCTTACTTAATGAAACACAAGAGAGCTAAGTAATAATCTGATTTAGCCTTCCCACAAAGGAGGCATTATTTTCTATTTTTATAGCTAAGGAAATTGTGGCCACAAAAGTTCAATAACTTGTCTGAGTTCACACAGTAATAAGCAAAATGCAATCATGAATCTGAAGATGTGTTTTTCCCATATGTCAAATCCCTGCACGTGTGTATGACTGCCTAATGCTCTGGATGGGACTATCATTTCCATTTAATCCCCATAGATAAACAGACACACTGAATACAGCTTAGCTAACCACCAATATTCCTGTCCTTATCTACAGTTCAGCCAACTGACAAAGAGAAGCTGATTTCAGGGTTTGTTTCAAACTCTTGGAAAACAGGATTATGTTTATTGCACAGCCAGTAGGCTGACTCATGAAATAAACATTTCTTAAACATAATGCCAAAACACCCAAATTTGTCCTTTGTGCCATTTATGAGGAACCCTGGAGAAGGGGGATGTTCATAAACCTCACCTCTCATAGCTTCCCTGGTAAAGGCATTCCTGGCTGAGAACGTGGCCTTCAAGGAAGGCCTAGCTGTCATGGTTCTTGACCCTAGTTGCATGGTTTATGCACTCAGGACTCAGTTTTCAAAAATATTTATGCTGGGTCCTCCTCAAAAGAACAATTAAATAAAAATCTCAGGAGGTGGAGCCCCAACAGCTGCAGTTTTCAAAAGTCCTCTCTAGATGATGATACCGTATCACCGAAGTTGAGATCACTGATACCAACTGTTGCTTCTCAAGTCTTGAGAGGATTAAAAATCACCAGGAGGACTCTCTTATATGCAGATTCTTATTCAGTTCTAGTTCAATCTGACCTGGGGCCCAAGATCCTGCATTTTAAAATAAGCTCTTAAATGATGCCAATGTTACAGTCCATGGTCTCCACATTAGAATTACCTGGCAATTTTAGGCAACAACTCAGGCTTCAGCTTTGTTTCCAGGAGTTTCTAATGCAATTGGCCTAAGTATTATTCTTTTCCAGAAGTACTCCAGGTGTGATCCTAATGCATAGCCAGGATCAAGGACCCTGATATAGTTAAAAGAAGAAGGGTCATTATTTTGAGGGGTTTCCTGCCAAAGTTGGGAACAGCATTATATGGTCCTCAATGTTGTGTTCCTAATTTCAGTTTCAGACTACACATCTGGACATGCAGTTGTTAATGATTTGGTGTGAAGCATGCCTACTTATGTGGCTAGAGTATGTGGCTCTAGGGCCTTGGCAAACACACACACGCAGACACACACACACACACATTGTATGATAAGCATAAAAATCCTGCTGATACCTGTGGAGGGTCAAGGTTCAAGTTTATTTTTTTTAAAGATTTATTTATGCATAGAAGAACTGAAGTGTAGGCCAGAGGTGTGGGGGGCGAGAGGATACACCAGAGACAGAGTGGGTTACAGAACAGGCAGATTTATTGAAATGCACTGCTTAGGGGAGCAGCGGGTAGGACAGGAGAGGTCTGCTGTGCCTTATGTGGGTTAGCTACCTGGCCAGGGATCGAACTCAGGCCACAGCAGTGATAGCATTGAGACTTAAGGGAGGCCTCAAGCCTCCAGTTTAAAAGAAATTTGCTTTGCTCATAATTGTAGTGGTACTTTCAAAATGATGGCCTTCACATCCCCGTTCTCTTACACTGATGAGCCCAGGTTGTGCACCTAATCATAGACTTAGGTACATGCTATTCCAAAGATTTTTCTGAATAGCTAAGCATTTACAGCTCTATATGATTAATACTTAACCAATGATGTTGATGGACCAGCTAGGAACTAAAATTGAAGTTATTGAAACAGCTTTTCCAAAGGCATGAATTATTTTTCTTCATGACACATTCATGATGCCAGCTGCTTTTGATCTAACTCTATCATCACCCCAAACAGTTTGACAATGTATTTGAACGACTCATCAAAGTCCAATCTTATCAGTCTATTTCTGAGTTCACCTACAAACCGGGTGGTAACTGGAAACATTTCTATTTTTTCAAGTTGTGTAAAATCAGAGTTAAACTTCATTTATGATTTCTTTTTAAACTATATTGAATAAAAGCATAACTTCCTTGAAATTAGTAATAAAGCATACATAACTCATCGTTTCACTTAAAAAAATAAACTTCATTTATAAAAAGCATAAATATTGTACACCCATTGTGTGTTAGAAACATTTTGGATTAATTCTTTTTTTATCCTATGAAGTATTTACTAATTTTCATACCTTCAAAGTGAGAAGACTGAGACTCAAAAAGGACAAATGATGATGAAGAGAGAGGCAGAGCTGAGAGCAAATCCAGTTCTTGCCAACTCAGATTGGGCAACATGGCTGGCCAGTCACCACAGCTGCCCCTGTACACTCTCAGGTCCAAGGCAGAAGGCATGATTCCGCACTCTGGCTGAAAATGCCAAAGATTTGGTGTATATTGGTGGCCTCCAGGCAGTTATCGCAATTGAATCTCTTATAAAACATATGTAAATTTGTGTTTTCTAGTCCCTCCTCACTATAACTGTAGTTATTCATGACTAGTCCTATTTGCACAATGACAATAACCAAATTGGGACAGGCTATTCCTAAGGACACGACTTAAGTTTTAATTTTACTTATTGGTAAATAATTTTAAAAACATGAAAACAGATATTATTAAGTAGAACATATATTTCTTGGGAAACTAAAAGATAAACCACGACTTCAAAGAAATGTGCTTTTAGAAGATACTTCAGGCTATGCCCCAAACCTCCTAGTGGAAGGGATTTATTCTCCTACTGCCCTTGGGACAAGTTTAGAGGGAAAGTTTGAGGAGCACTGAACCAGTGGAATTATTTGAAATGTGACACTCTTAATTGGCTTGGTTCAAATCCTCAGCAGTTGGAGAATCTTGGCTTATCGCAAATGCTAGAAATACCATAGCATTTGTCACTTCAGTCCCAGCCAAAGGTCAAATGCAGCATCACAAATAGAAGCAAAAAATAAATTCTAACAGTCATGTTGGGGGTTAACTTAATTTTATTCACATATGATAGCTATAGGGGCTGACAAAGTTTTCCTCCAACATTTCTTTCCGTGGCTGAGTTGATTTAGAGTTTGGTTGCAGATGGCGTGAATTGAAGGGATGTGTGTTATGATCGATCAGGGGATTGTTACAGTTCTACATCATCATGAATCCAGTATAATTTGAACCTTGTAGCTTATCTAACACATTTGCAGTAAGAGTTGGGGAATAAATCTAAAGCTCACTGGCAAACACTTGGCAGCCCTTGAGAGCGGCATCTTTAAAGAACATGCAGTGGATGCTCACATTGCAGGCACCTCAGGTACCATGAGTGCAGGTGGGAAGAGCCTTGGGGTGCCAAAAAAGGCAGCCCATGACAGCAGCAGGGTTTGAGGGCATCTCGCGGGTGTTGATGTCAATCCCAGGAGCACAGCACGGCCTCTCAGTATTGATAGGACCTCACCAGGAGCCACATGAGGATAACTGTAATCAGCACAATGGTAAAGTTGAGAAACAGCTCACGGGTGGATAGCTCCATCTCAACTGTGGTTCCAGGAGAAGGGAAGGCTGGCTTCTCAGGGCACACCGAGGACCTCCTACTTGTCTTCACCTCCTAACAGGAAGTAACAAAGAAAACATGGGGAGATTTATCCTATTTTTCCTTTAAAAGAAATAGAAGCATTTGGAAGGGCTGAATTGTGTCTCCCTCTAACTTCATTTGAAACTCTAAGCCCCTGTATCTTAGAAAGTGACTGTATGTGGAGATAGGGTCCTTCAAGAGGTAATGAACTTTAAATGAGGCCATGAAGATGGGCTCGAACACAATAGACTGGTGTCCTATCAGAAGAGGAGATGAGGGCACAGGCATGTAAAAAGGGAAGACCATGTGAAGACACAGGAGGTCACTGGCAAACCAAGGAGAGTGGCCTCGAAGGAATCAAACCTGCCAACACCTTGATCTTGGATTTCTAGCCACCAGATGATCTTTGAGCATGAGCTGCCACTCTTCCCTGGATCTTCAGCCTGCTGGTCTACCCTGCAGTCTTGGACCTTGCCAGCTTCCACAATCACACCAGTCATTTCTATATGATATACATACCACACACACACACACACGCACACACACACTCATATTCTTTTGGTTCTATTTCTATCAAGAACCAACTTAGTAGCAGTGAGCCTGGAATTTCAGCTTGACTGTTAAGAATGATCAACATAGGGCCTCCCTAGTGGTGCAAGGGGTTAAGCACAGCACTGTGAAGCTGTCCGCAGCCTCTGCAGCATGAGTTTGATCCCCAGCTGGCCAGGGAGCTACCCATATGGCACAGCAGACTTCTGTCTCTCCCGCTGCTCCCCTCAGCAGTGTATTTCAGTCAGTCTGCCTATTCTGCTCCCCTCTCTGTCTCTGGTGAATTCTCTCACCCCCCACATCTCTGGCCTGTACCCCGGTTCTTGTATGCATAAATAAATAAATCTTAAAAAAAAAAAAAGAATGATCAACATAGTCCTGACATTTTCCTGTGATGATGATGTTAATGTCTGGATAAAATATAAAACACTGTATTTTTTCTTTTTCTTTTCTTTTTAAAGATTTATTTATTTATACAAGAACCAGGGTACAGGTTACATGTGCAGGAGGGTGAAAGGATTCACCAGAGACAGAGAGGTGACCAGAATAGGCAGACTGACTGAAATACACTGCTGAGAGGAGCAGCGGGCGAGACAAGAGAGGTCTGTTGCGCCATTTGGGTATCTCCCCGGCTGGCCGGGATCGAACCCACACTGCAGAGGCTGTGGACAGCTTCACAGAACTGTGCTCAACCACCTGCACCACCAGGAAGGCCCAAAACATTGTATTTTTCTCTCCAGTTTCTCTGTGCATGTATGTGTGTGTGCTTGCTTTGCTAACTTAAAGTGTCAACAAGTGAGGTCACCAAAATATAAAAAATGTTATGGAGTAGTAATGTGCTTACTTTGAATTATGTATAGAAGTAGAATACCATAATTTCTCAGGTTTTGGGTTGCTACAGATCTTCATCTCACCCTGGTGAAAGCATGAAATACTTTTGACCAGCCCTGTGTTGGGCACAGTGCCCCCTGTGGTTAACCCCAGACACTCACAGTCCGCAGGGCGAGTGCTACCCTCATGGGCACTCCTGTTTCAACAAGGCCTTGTGCCAGCTATTTTTAGTCAGTCCAGGATGTGCCCAGATTGTAAACACTTCAAAGGGCAGAGGCAGATAGTACACGTAGGAAATCCTGCCTTGAGAACATAGGCAGTGCAGTCAATCAAATTATTGTCTTCAGTGATGTGGCATGATCGACACTTAGTGTATGCAAATCAAATGAAAGATTAAAGATAATATTTTAGCTATTTAGGGCAAAAGTCTACTATGGAGTGAAAATTTAGAAAGAACCTAAGCTGAGAATAGAAGTGTCATTAGCAAGTTTGGTATTTTTACCCATCTAACCTGACTGAATTATTCATTGTAATTACTAGATCTGTTTTATTATTAGTGGACCACATTATTAGTTGTATAAGCCAGCCAAATCATGTTCATATTATGTAGTTGTTGGTACATAGCACCTATGCTTAAATCAGATGATGTCAACCCCCAAATTACTGAATCTTGGTTTAAAACATGGTCAATAAAGATGATTAATGTTTCCTTTCCCTTTCAGTTCTTTTTTTTTTTTTCAGAATATTTATTTTTTTCATAGAACTGGGGTGTAGGCCAGAGGTGTGGGGGGGTGAGAGGATTCACCAGAGACAGAGTGGGGAGCAGAACAGGCAGAGTGACTGAAATATACTGCTAAGGGGAGCAGTGGGAGAGACAGGAGAGGTCTGCTGCGCCATGTGGGTCACCTCCCTGCCAGGGGATTAAACTCATGCTGCAGTAGCTGCGGGTTGCTTCATAGTTCCCTGACTGGGGATCGAACTCAGGCCTTAGTAGTGATAGTGCTGAGACTTAACCCCTAGGCCACCAGGGAGACCCCTTTTAATTCTTATCTGTCTTTTGATTCTTCACATTAAGGATACAGTAAGTTGCCAATGAAATCTTTCCAGAGATTTACTTGAAGGAGAAAGTGAACGAAAGAAAATGAATGAATAAAGAAAGTAGAATATGTAAGAATGCAGGTAACAATGGACGGACAGAAAGGTGAGGACCCAGGCAGGCAGCATAGAGGCCAAGGAATAGGAATCAAAGGTAGACTCTAATTTATAAATTTATTAATAAAACTAAATCCTGGACCAAATATCCACTTATTTGTGTAAGTTCTGAAGAAATAAGTATGAGAGAGGCAGAGAGACTGATCCTGCCTATAATACTCAAAACAACACAATTCAGATAAGGCAAAATAACTGTCCCATCAAATCTGCTTATTAGATTAATCTGTTCAATAAAGGGAATCATGGGGACTGACCCACCAGGGACACATTCATAAAATGTTATAGAAGCTATTCACAGCTCTGTTCATGTGGCCTTCACAACTCTGTAACCTTCACAACTCGGGCAGCTATTATTGTGATTTTTATCTCCCCCAAGATTATAGATCAGAAAATAAACTTTTAGAGAGAGGTTTAATTGTTTGTGCAATGACACATAACACATTAAAGGCAGAATTAGAACTGGCAAACTGGAATGAGTTGCTAGAATTGTGATTACTCCTTAAGAGTGATTACAAGAATGAGTTATTACTGAAATTTACTGCCGTGACTAAATAAAATTAGTGCACATTTTCAATCACTTTGGGAAAAGCAATGTGACATTTTTATATTAAGTTTGATAATATTCATTCCCTATGATCCAGCAATTTCACACAACTCAAGACATGTATACTCAAGCACATGTATACAGGATTCTTAGACAAAAATATCACAGCAACAAATTCACAGTATTCCCAAATTGGAAACAAGTCAGATGTTCAACAGTAGTAGAATGAATGATGGATTTGGTGCATTTATACACTTAATTGCTAGAATTATAATTGTTGGTGAAAGACGGATTTACAAAAGAAACATAGAATATATTAACTGGGAACTTAATCATATTATTTAGACATATAGACACAAATGATAAAATAACAAAGAAAAGCAAGGACAAGATCACCTCAGCAGTCAGGGTGGTGATTACCTACAGTGGGGTAGACAGGGGTGGTGATCAGGTATGCTGGCACGATCTATTTTCTGACCTGGGTGAGAGTTGTATGTTACCTTATAATTATTGTTCAAACTGTGTGTCTTAGACTTTCTTCACATTGTTTTCAGAAGTCTCAGAATTGGTCGGCTGCCCAACATACTTGTTTCTTGGGGCTTACTTACTATTTCTTGAATTTTGATGTGAGCTTAAATATTAGTTGTGTTATATAATCAAGGAATATAAAAAACAAGGAGTGCAGGTGAGATTTACAATGCATCCAATTCAGTCAACACTTTTGCTAACTGTAAGAGATGGACTTTACTTTCACACACATTTATACCCTTTAGGAAGAATGAACCAAAGTTAGGCAGAATTCAGATCAGAAAACTTCCATTTTTCTGCTGTTAACCACAAAGACGATTTTGCTTCATTTTAAATCTTCCCTGGAGTCAAGAGCAAACTGTATTATCCAAAGTGCTTGCCATATGGGTGAAATAAAAAATGAAAATGCTGTGAAAAAAATTGTACAGAATGTTTGAATTGACCTTCTGCATGGAGTCCTTGAGAAGATGAAAGACAGACTTTCCTCAATGATATTAAGATTTTTTTTAAAAATAGGGAGAAATGCATATTACGTGTTTAAAAAAATAAAGGAAAACAAGAATCAATACCAGTCACTTTACATCTTCAGATACACTGTACACAACAACAGGACTTATTTCTTTAAGTCAACATTCTTTCTCATTTCCAACATGTACATACACACATACACACACACACACACACACACACACACACTATGTATGATAAGCATAAAAATTCTGCTACCTGAAGAAGGTCAAAGCCATACCTGGATACAATATGTTTCTCCTGACTCTCCAACTTGTGCTCTTCTCCCAGGCTATCTGGACCTCTTGCCTCTGGGCAGGGCCTAAAGTAGGCCAACGGAGGTGACAATTACTGTGACGTCACTGATGAAACGTCTCGAAGGAATAACCTCCAATGGTTTGAGACTATTTGTGTGGAGGGAGCTATGGAAATATGTTGACTAAGGCTTTGTGCTTTGGCTGTCAGTTTTTATTAACACTCCAGGGAATGCAGTTGACTTTTGGTACAATGAATCTAGGTTTTAATTTTATGGTTTTATATCATCATGAATATCTCTAAGGTGTGTTTAAATCATTGTAAACAGTGACTGATAGACTAATGTTAATAAACCAATGCTATATTTGGCTGTTCAACCTACTCTACATATGAAAATGTGAAAATGTAATTTCATTTGCCACCCCTATCTTTAGCTATTTGAAATTGTGAAGAGTCCTCTGCTTTGCACACACCCACCCCAAACAACACACACGCACCAAAATTTAACAAGCATATTTAGCTCCTTCAAAACTAACTTTAGTCCAAGTGGGGAAGTTAATCTCAGTCACCTGTCCCACATAACTTCCAGCCAGGCTTTAAAGTTGCC